TCGAGCTTGCTTTCCGCTGCTACCCGTGTAGTCCTGAGACTTTCACCGGGTAGAAGAAGCAGTAATTGGAGCTAGATGCATTTATTCCGAGGAGAAAAAGAAAATAGGCTCGAGCATTGCTCAAAGACCAGCCTACGCATACAAGGGCTAGACAAATCTTAATGACCACCAGGCATCAGGAGGTAACATAAACGGAGCATTGTATAATGCATTTTGTGAGAGGGGGAATGTAAATCCAGACTTGATGCTTAAGGAGCATGTGGACGTCTTTCTGAGATTATAGTGCTTACGTCCATCCGAGCCTGTACTTGTTTTAAATGCCATATAAAGAAGGGCCGGAAGAAAAGCCTTGAACTGCAGATAGCTAATAAAGGTAGTATTACAAAAGAAGCGCCAGAGGGCGATAGAAATTTATTTCCACCCCACCGGGGCTTCCCACTGAGTATAGGAATATAATTAAGTTGGGTTGAGTACCTGTAGTCTGGGAGGAGAAGAAGAAGAAGAAGAAGGAGAAGGAGGAGGAGGAGGAGGAGGAAGGAAATAGGTCGGACCTCATTGTGGTTACGACCTGCCTATCCTCTGGTCCCTGATTCTCAGACTTCAAGAGGAAGTTGGTTGTAGACGATTTATTAGACAGATGAGGTGAGGAAGAGATGTCAATCAGACGTGATCCACGTTTCCAGTGCCTTCCCGCCTCTTACCTATAAAAGTCCACTTAAACAAATTAGAGTATATTACACTTATCTCGGCCAAAAGGCCTGCAATACTTTGTCTTTGTGACTGCTAGACGTTTAGCGGTCACCTTAGAACTTGTCTGGTCCCTGTACACGTGAGCTTGCCTTTGAGCCAAGCTCAGACCCCATTTACCCTGTCGTCTCCGGAATACATGTATTCAACTTCACTTATGATTTCTGCTACCCTATGGGAAGCTTCAGGGCACTACAAGGCTAGCCCACACACACAAGGACAGGTCGAATGCCAAAGGGACCGCCAGACATCAGGTTCCATTAATTCTTTTTATTTGACTACATTTATGCCTATTGGTCACGTTGGTGTTCTTCTTACCCATGGCTAATTGGCGTGGCCTGCAAGCCATTCCAACGCTACACGTCTTCTTCTTCTCTCTGATTACGAGTAATCAGCTATGTTTAGTGTCTTCTAATGCCAAAGAAGAAGCCTTGGTACAGCATTATAAAGACATTTTCAACTCATGTCAACCGCACATAAAAACATAAAAACAAATTTTAATAAAGTTACAAGTAGTGGACCAAAAACAATCTCTTATTTTCATAACCTATGTACTTGTTTAATTCTACCAATTTCTTCTATTGCGCGTCTCCCCACATTGCAAAATCACTGATGGATAATCTGGATCCTGGAGCTTTGGAATCCGTTGGTTATAGCAGGGTACTCCCAATGCCTGCGGCAAACAATGAGAATACAATCCTCATAAATGAGGTAGTACCTTACTGATACCTCTGGCAACATTGGTGGATCCAGAATAAAACCACTGCAGTTTTAGCATTAATTTTCGTTTTTATAGCTTATTTTTTAAATCTTAGTCGTGCCTCAACAACGATCTGACTCAATTTGCGTTAAAAGTTTGCAGCTTACTGTTTGTTCCCTGCCAATAATGTGATTATAATTTTTAGTATAAAGACAAGTTGGAATCATTAAGAAAAGTTGATGAAGAATGTGCTTCACTTAAAAGGCGTGTCAAATATTTGGAGGAACATCGAAATGAGGTCAACCAAGCAATCACTGCGATTAATGCCATCTTCAAATCATCGTGTGAAAATTGTATGGTTGAGAACGAATTGATGTTAATGGCTGAAAAAGAAATGAAGAATGTTCGAAAAAGCATTTGCCGCATTGAGAACTTATCTAACGAAACAAAGGAGAGGATATTTAAAATAGAGGTAACTTTTGTTTCTTGTAGCACATTGTAGAACAATATGTTTGCCAAACAAATGGAAGTCCGCGACCTTCAAGAATGCTTACGCATAAAATCCAACCATCTTGACGCTTGGATGGATTACACTGAGCAAAAGTATGACGATTTATATGCCATTAAATGTCTCCACCATAAAGATGATTCGCTATTAAAGGTAGAGTTGGATCTTGATGAATTATTGAAATAGAGTTTGTTTGCAAAGGTAGCTCAGCTTTCCTTAGAAAAAACAAAGACGAAGAAGAGACTCGACGAAATGGTCATTAATGGGTCTGCGCAAAAAGTAAAAAGGAACATTGTTTGTGAATAACTACGGGAAAATTCTTCTCGAGAAAATTTGGCCTTTGATTTAAGCAACGTCAATTTCACCTATTTTTATATAGGACGCATACTTTCGTGCAGATAATTTTCTACCGCTTTCTTTGACTTCCACATGGGACTTTATGCAAAGTTGAAAACAATAATGAGTTTTTTCTTTGGAAGTGGTATTGCATTAAACTGTCAAATAGTTTTGTGCCTTTGGATCGCATGCATGTACAAATATGTTACCTTTTCGCGTTGAAAGTATAGTTTTCAAACCTATTTTCTCTCTATTTAACTTAAATTTGCTTACTAAAATGACAATTACAACTTTAATTGCACTATAGTTACAAATGGAGAAACTTAGTCGAGAAGCTCGCAATGAGGTTGAGGAAAGAATGGTTGCCTTAAACTTATGGGAAAAAGCTGTGATACGTGCTCAGAGTCGAGGCGAAGAAATAGATGCTCTTCTGCAGGTATTTAACTTCCATTGAGATGATCGGTGCCATCGCTACACTCAACTCAGAGTTAAAAGAATGGAAAATTTTCCAAACAGAAGTTTTACAATATCTATCCCGATCATGAAATCTATTTCTATGAATACTCACCGTTATTTTGCCTTTATAGTCAGTTGAGGCTCTAAGTCGCCGCATTAATAATAAGCGGCAAGAGAGAAATGAGAAAGATCGCTGTCTTAAAAGTGTCATAAGAGACGCATCGGAACAGAACAAAAAAATTGAAAAGCACGAAAAACTCCTGGAAGCCCTGCGAGAAGAGCATTCAAATCTTCGGGCTAAAATGAAAGATGTTTATTCCCAGGTTTACACAATTCGATGAATCTTTAATAGTGCAGTTGAAAATACTTAAAGAAATTACTAAACGAAGTGGTATTTCAACGATCTCTCTTCATTCCGAAATAAAGGAGGCGAAAACGAAGAAGTCTTCTCTAACTGGAAAGTAAGTTGCGATGGAATGCATTGTAGTTATAAATTCACTAGATATTTATTTTTTTACGGTTGATTGACAGAGTTCGAACTACTTTGGAACAAATAAGAGACCTTAAAAGAAAACTAGAAGAAATGTGTGCGGGAAAGATCTCAACGGATCAAGTAGTTACTGAAGCGGAACATCATTTGCAAGAAGAAGAAAGGAATGTTTTGTATCTTACAAAGGAAATCACAAGTCTATGCAGGCAGCGTTCTAAGATTTCACAGGTAGATTAATGGGGAAATTCTGGCAGGTGTAATATGAGGTATAATTTTATGCGTCCATAGCTTTGGAATACACTTGATTAATTCAACCTTGCCATTGATGTCCTGCAATGCAAGGACCAGCTGATCTGTACGTAAACGATTTCTGGTCATCCCATAAAATGCTTTTGTTTCTCGAAATGACAGGAGCAAAAAGGTGCGAACGAAGAGCGGCTGCGAATTGAAGCGTTAGTGAGAAACTGCAAATCTGAGTTGAAAAATTTGAACAGGGAAATATCCATAGGAGAAGAGAAAATAATCACCCAAGAACGTACTATTTACAATCAGGTGAGCGAAAAGAAATGAACTTGGTTGGTCTCAGCCTGCGACCGAACGGCGTTTGAATTTACTTTGCGTTTGAATACCTAAAGTAGTGTTTATCTCCGCGATAGAAGATATGATTCTATGAAATGCAAATCACCTGCCAAATTTTTACGGTTTTCCAGTCTTCAACAATTTACGCCCAATAGTTAACCGGTTTATTAAGAGTTGAGTCAGACTTTTTAGGTGTACAAAAATTAGCAGAAAAGCACTATTCGCAATCGTCCTGAGATGGTAGTAAACTAAAAGTACGAAAGGCCTTTACAATAAAGACACGTAAATGGATTGTTATAGGACTATAAGCTTCTTCAAATCGAAAATCGTCTGAGCAAGATGCAAGACGAAACCTTGTCAGAAGAAGTTAGAGCTTACCAGGAAGACATTCAAAGTCTGTCTACTGAATCAGAAGGGCTATCTGTAGTGCACAGAAAGCTTTTGACTGAGCTTGAGGCCATACAGGTAAATTTGAACTTCGAACTATCTTACGAATGTTGCAATCGAAACTGCAAAGTGCCCCTTTTAAAAATGAGGTCGAATCGAAACAAATGGAACGCGCAATTAGGAAACTCTTGGTTGAGAAAGCAGCTGTGGATTCGCAGCGGGACAGCGACACAGCACACGTCGAACAAGTCGAAAAGGCTCTGAAGAGGTGCAAGGATGAGTATAGCAACAGTCTTGTGGACAAAAATATGTTACAACTTAAAATACGAAGAACTGATGAGATCTTGCGGCACTATTCGGAGAAGGTTCGAAGTTGTGTCATGCCACTTTACTTTAAAAGGTTTTTAATTTGGAGAAAAGTCGTCTGACCATGGAAAAGTGTGTAAAGGAAAGGGAGACCGATATTAGTATCGCGATGGAAATGACGGTTGCAACACTGCGACTCACGAATGAAGAGAATGCGAGATTAAGGAAAGAAGTCAACTTTAGACGACTGCAGACTAATAAACTGGCAAAACGGTAGGCGCATTTCTTTCTAAATAAATGAAATCGCTCGTACTTTGCTATTCTCTTTGTTCCAGGTATGAAATTGAGTTGCTTAAAATGGCTCACCCAACAGAAGGGAGGTTGGAAAATCAAACCTTCTACGTGATCAAGGTTGTTGAACTATCATTTGGTGCATAATATTCTATGATGGATTGCATGAAGTGTGTGGAACTGTTTCACCTACACATGACCCGACGCGGTTGTGGGACAGGGGAAGAGAGTCTCCTTTTTCGCCGTTAATAATTTTTATACACATTTCTTAAAAATGGCTTTCAACTAGATTTTGGTAGTATTATCAGACCACATAAAAACCGCTGCAGACAATCAAAGAGTTCACTTACGTTTGCAGCTACCAAAGGCTTTGTGTTCCGACGCAGCTCGGTTGTCACTGGGTGCATGGACTTCGTGCTCCAATGGGCTTACTTAGATGACGTAACAAATA